CAGGCGGTGGCAGCAGCTGTGCAGGCCAACCCGATGGCGGTGCTGCTCGACAGCGGGTGCTCCCACCACCTGATGGGGACCAAATCGGTCTTTGTTGACATGGGGCCGAGCGATGGGGTGAAGCATGTGCGTGGGTTCAACGGGGCATTGCAGCCTGTCGAGGGTCGCGGAACAGTCGCTCTGCAAGGGGAGGCCGAGAAGCGAGTCCTCATCCCCGACGTACTCTACGTTCCAGGCGTACAGGCAAACCTGTTGTCTGCTGGCCAGCTGAAGGAGTGCGGCGTGCTACTGCAGGGCGATGGCGATGAGATGCTGCTCGTCGACGCGACTGGAGAGGTGCTTGGTCGAGCACGCTACACCGGACGAGTTCTCTGCACCGACCTTCGCCCCTGCCCGACGCAGTTGCAGTCGACCGAGGTGGTGGCTCTGCGGACGATCACCTCGGCGACGAAGACGACCCCCGATAGGATGCATGCGCGGCTTGCCCACGTCAACGTCGACACGATCAAGAGCTCGGCGAAGCATAATGTGGCTACTGGACTCGACATCACGTTGTCAACCGGAGCAGACCCGCCATGTGTCTCGTGCGTCGGAGGAAAGCTGGCGCGGCACACCTTCCCCGCCAAGGGCTCGGATGCAGCGGAGGCGCTGGCTGTCGTGCACATTGACTTGTGCGGGCCATTTTGGGTGGCTGCCAAGGATGGCAGCTTGTACTTCCTGCTGCTGAAGGATCGCCATACTCGATTTGTATGGGCGATGCCGGTCGCTAAGAAGAGCGACGTGCTGCGGGAGTTCGAGAAGTGGCTGGTGCTTGTGGAACGACAGACGAAGAAGTCGGTTCTGTCGCTTCGCTCCGATCGAGGGGGGGAATTCCTCGGGAAGGCGTTCACCGACTTCGTCGACGGGAAGGGCATCGTCCACGACCTGACGTGCCCCTACACTCCGCAGCAGAATGGCATGGCTGAGCGGGAGATGCGTACGGCCGTCGAGTCCGTGCGGACGATGTTGCTGCACATGGGCGTGCAGCACCATTGGTGGCACCTGGCTCTACGACAAGCTAACTGGGTGCGCAACTGCTTGGAGCGGTCGACGACGCCGCCGGGGACGACTCCGTACCAGCTGCTGACCGGACAGAAGCCCGACCTTACGCTGGCGCGGGTGTGGGGCTGCATGGTGCAGTTCATGGTTCCCGAGCAGCAACGAGGTGGAAAGCTGGCGCCGAAGGCTCGCTGGGGACTTCACCTGGGTGTGTCGCCAGCGAGCAAGGGCTGGGAGGTGCTCGACCTGACCAACAACAAGATGGTCACGTCGGTCGAGGTGATCTTCTATGAGACGCTGTCGCTGGAGGTGTGGAAGGCGAAGTATGGGCCGGCGTCGGAGCGGACGCAGGCGCACCCGCCGACGGACACCTCGACGGCGACGGTTCCCCTGCTCGCTGAAGTCGACGAGCCTGCTCATGAAGATGCTGTGGAGGTCCTTCCACCTCCCCCTGTTCTTGCTCCTCCGTCTCCCGTCGCCGATTTGCCTGTGTCGACACCTGTGTCGGCCACCGACGATGAGGGGAGCCTGGAGGCGTCGCCTGTGGCGCCAGCCAGTGGCATCGCCGGCGGACGACAAGGCGCCAAGCTCGACGACTACGATGGAAAGCCGTCGAAGACAGGGGAGCTGGTCGAAGAGGAGCCATCGGCAGGGGTACACTCGATAGGGGAGCGGCAGCCAGAGCGGTCGACAGGAGAATTGTCGGAGGTAGCAGCAGAGGAACAGCCGGTCGAAGGGTCGAAGCAGATGGTCGACGACGTTCTAGTTAAAACGAAAGGGGAGCTATCGGCGGGTGAGGAGTCCACCGACAGCGACGTGATGGAAGTGCCGATCACGAAGCCTGAGCTGCGTCGCTCAGGTCGAGCTCGACGGCCGCCGGAGCGGTTGAGCTTTCACGCCTGCTTACCGCCAGCTGCCTTCACCACGGTGTACAACGAGGTCGATGACGACCTGCTGTACGACGATGCCGAGGAGGATAAAGACCTGTCGGAGCTCGACCCTGACGTGCATGCCGACCCCGAACACCGCTGGGACATCGCCACGATGACGGTGAAGGAGGCGCTGTCGAGCTGGAAGGGCGAGGCGGTGAAGGCCGCCATGGAAGAAGAAATCCGTAGCCTCATCGCTATGGGGACTTGGGAGCTGGTCCAACGCCCACGCGAGGTGAACATTATGAAGAACCGATGGGTGCTGACGACCAAGTACCGCATCGACGACACCGTCGAGCGCGAGAAGGCGAGGCTGGTCGTAAAGGGCTTCACGCAGGTGTACGGCACCGACTACGACGAGACGTACTCGCCGGTGAGCAGCTACGTCACGCTGAGGATCTTCCTCAGCATAGTCGCCGTCCTCGACCTCAACCTGATGCAGCTCGACATGAAGAACGCTTTCCTGCAGAGCAAGCGCGACAGAGTGCTCTACATGTATCAGCCGGACTACTTCGACGACGGGACCGGCCGGGTGTGTAAGCTGCTGAAAAGCCTCTACGGGCTGAAGCAGTCGCCGCTGCTGTGGTACAGGGCTCTTGACGGTGTGCTGCTGGGCGCTGGCTGGAAGAAGAGCCAGGTCGACGAGGCGCTCTACTTCAAGACCGGCGACGACGGTGTGACCTGCTGGGTCTTGGTCTACGTCGACGACCTGCTCGCCGCTAGCAGCAGCACCGCGATGCTGAAGGAGCTGAAGGAGCTGCTGGAGGCCGCCTTCGAGCTGCGTGAGATCTCGCCGGTGGAAAAGTACCTTGGGCTGGAGATTGTGCGCGACAGGCCGGCCAGGAAGTTGTGGCTGCACCAGCAGGGCTACGCCGACAAGCTGCGCAGGCGCTTCGTCGACGAGGAGCTAGGCGGTCGAGTCCCGAAGACGCCGGTCTCGGTCGACGCCTACGTTCATCTGACGTTCGACGACGAGGAGGCTCAGGAGCGCGAAGAGGAGGAGTACCGCCAGAAGGTCGGCTCGCTGCAGTTCGCGGCGACGACGACGAGGCCGGACATTGCGTTCGCCTGCAGCAAGCTGGGGAGTGGCCTCACGGTGAGGAGCGACCAGCATTGGCGTGAGGTCGACCGTTGCCTCGCCTTCCTCGCCGACACCCGCGACACCGCCCTGGAGTTCGGCGGTGGACCAGAATCGTTGGAGCTGATCGGCTACGTCGACGCCGACGACGCGGGCGACAAGCAGAACCGGACGAGCACGGGAGGCTACGTGTTCGTCTACGGAGGGGCCGCCGTCTCCTGGTCGAGCTCGCGCATCAAGTGCGCGACATTATCATCGACCGAGTCGGAGTACGTGGCGGCCACGGATGCCGGCAAGGAGGGGCGTCGACTTCGCTTCCTCCTTGCGGAATTCAAGCTGCTCGACGCTGGGAAGCCGACCATCCTCCGCGTCAACAACAAGTCGGCAATCACGGTCGCTGAGGGCTTGGGGCTGACGGGCAACCTCAAGCACATGGAGCGACGCTACGCCTGGCTGCAGCACATGGTGAGGCGCGGGAAATTTGTGCTGAACTACATCCCTACCACCGAGCAGCCGGCGGATTTCCTGACGAAGGCGCTGCATTTTCCGGCTTTCAACCGGTGCTCTGTCGCCATCGGCCAAGTTCGCCTGGTGGACGTCGGCGACGGCGATGACGAGGTGCAGCAGTAGGTGCCGTGCCCTTCTGCACGGCTGGTGCGGTGACGGCGTGCTGTGTATGGGGTGCACGCCGAGGACGAGCTTTCTGCGTGGAGTACTGCCGTGTGGGCTGGAGGCCCAAGCGTGAGCGCGGCAGGGGAGTGTTAACGGGAATGGAGTGTTGGCCCCGCCCTCGCTTGGGCAACGCCGACAACTTGGTTGGATGCATGGGAGTAGCAGCCGACTGTTCACAGTGGGATAGCTGCTCGACAGGTTACGTCGAGCGGCAGCGGACCGCTGTGGTGTTGCTTTCGACCAGGATGCTCGACAGCTGCAACCGCCTGGCCTGGGCGACGGGTGAGCCGTCCGGGAGGTCGACGAAGCAGTCCGTCGACCTACAGTTCGACGGGGAGGTCTACGGAGCATCCCGTCGAACTGCAGTTCGACCGGGAGGTCGACGGAGCAGTTCTGGTCGACGGAAGGGGTCCGTCGACCAAGGGGTAGCTTGACGGGAGGTGTGGTCGTCCAGGGGCATCCGGTGGTCGACCAGAGAGACCCAGTGGTCGACGGGAGGCACCTGGGAGTCGACCAGAGCACCAGGGGTCGACCAGGTCGACCGGGTAACCTGCTCGACGAGTTCTGCGGAGGCACGCGAATGCCGTCGAGATCGCGATGGCGCAGGCGACTTCGGGCTGGTATCCCGAAGTCGATGTGGCTCGTCAGGCGCAGACAACAGCCGACGGATGCCCAACGAGGCAAGTCGGACCAATCGTCTGCGCACACCTGCGAGCGCGCGCACTGCTGTGTTCTACGGGGCACGCCGTCGACCTGCTTTGTTGGCAGGTCGCCCTTCTGCATTGCTGGCGCGGCTCCTCTACGCAATGCTGGCAGGCGGTCGACCAAGCTGCGCTGGCAGTCGACCAGGCTAGCTGCAGGGTTGCTAGGTGCCTGATGTAGTCATTGTTGTCATTGCTTCTTTTTTTTTCTCAATTTTGTAATTCCAACTTTGCTAGTGGAAACTCTGGCCAATCTCTCCTGTGAATGTGCAAGCACTAAGGAACCAAGCAAAGCTGAGATCACCTCTAGTAGTTCGTGCCAACCCTGTAGTCTAGCTCACTGCCGTTGTAGAGTGAATCTCCACACTCGCGTGGCTGTCGGACGCGTGGACCTCCGTCGGCGCGCGCACCATTCAACGGTGCTGGTGGCGCACGGGGTGTCTGCCGCTCTCGTGGTCCTTGGAGCTGACGCATGTACACGACGATGAGCCCACCCCCGCCGTCTACCCCGACATCGAGCTCGACGACGACATCGACGATGTCGGGACGCTCATTAGCGGGCTCGCCCTCGGGAATGCGGCGATGACGGCCGCAGAGTACGTCGCCATCGACGACGGCGAGCCAACGTGCGCCGAGGGCGCTGCGGGACAGCCCACGACTGAGCCGGAGGCGGGCCTGGAGGCGGAGCTCTGGCACGCGCCGACGACCATGCAAGTCGTCTACGACGACGCCGACCCCGTGTGCCGCGAAGCGCGGCGCACTGCACGGGCGGCATGCGAGATGCTCATCGGATATGCACGGGCCACCTGCATCACGCCGCGCGATCTGTGCCATCTGTTCGATATCCGCAACCCCATCATAATCGCGCGGATGGAGCGGGCGAGCCCGTCGTTCAACCTCAACGTGGTGCCTCAGCCCGTACCCTCCCCGGGCGCAACTCCCACGCCCGAGACCCCTCGTCCGCGCGGCCGTGTGCTGCCCGGCTGGATGACCCGTCCGTCTCGCCGTCAGGAGCTGCTTGACGCCAGTGTGGGCGCCGTGATGGACGGGTATGTGGACGCGGCTGAGTGGATGCGTCTGTGAGGGGGGGGGTGGAGCAGACTTCGCAAGGTGTCGAAGGCATTTTGCTGAGAGCCCAAGTGTTCACTCCTCGTGCCCATTTGTGCGTGTTTCGTTTTGTGTGTTGAATGGAGATGAGGGGCCAGGTGGAGGATGTTGATTGGAAGGTGTTGGTGTTTTGACTGTTCTGTACCACGAAGAACAATTGTTGTGCATGCTTGTTTCGGTACTGTAGCGCTCGTTTAGTAACCCTAAACACACAACAGGGACAAGTGCTGCAACCCCTTACTGTTGCGAATCAAGACGAAATATCTGATTCGACTCAGTGCGCCTACTGTTGTCTGAGGACGATGATCAACATTTAGGCGGCGCATGCGAGGGAAGGCACTGATGGCTGGTGGATAACATCACATAAGCACGTGCAAGGCCACGTAGGCGCGCGCTAGACCACGTAGGCGCGCGGAAGGCCACGTAGGCGCCCGGTAAGCCATGTAGGCGCGCGGAAAGCCGAGTGGGCGCGCGGAAGCAAGAGGCGCGCTTAGGGGGCGGAAGGCACCAGTCGCAGCCATAGCTTCATCATTCTGTCTCGACTACCCCCGTTCGAGCATAATCCATGCCCCATTTATCAATTTCATCGAATTCCAAGTCCCAAGCTCTCAGAATCTGCAGCAGAGCATCACCCGGACTGCGGCGGGGGTGTGTTCTGTGCCCAGCCCGCAAGGACCTCCCCGCGAGGTGACGTGAGAGCCACCCGGCCCGTCGTTCCCGCGCTCCAAGCATCTGTCGCGGACTGCTGTGAGGGTGTGTTGTCTGCCCGGCCCGCAAGGTCCTCCCTGCGAGGTCTCACGTGTCGCGAGAGCCACCCGGCGGCCCGTCGTTTTCGCGGGAATTTATCGCGCGGCGGCATTCATCTTCTGCCGATGGCTCGTACCAACAGAATCGGCGCCGCCGCTCAGGCCGTTGCGACCCCGACTCGCCGCTTCGTGTCCCTCGTGGCTTCCGCCGCCGCGCTCCTGCTCCTCGCCACCGCCGCCGCCGTGCCGACGCTCGCGGATTCGACTCAAATGGCAGATGCGAGCCGTCGGGTTCTGAAAGCCGCCGCGCCCGTAGCGGCGCCCGCGCCGGCGGGGGCCGGGGCAGGGGCCGGGGCACCCGCGGTCGGCGCGCCACCGCCGCCACCGGCGCCGGTCGACCAGTATTACGACGACGACTACATGCAGGACTACACTCTGGAGCAAGTGATCGCAGCCGCGTCGCCTCAGGCTGCGCCCGGAGCGCCGCCTTCTCCGCCGCGATCTCTGCGAATGAAGGTTCCGTACACGATTAAATTCGCGGACGTGTCCAAGTCGTTTTACATTCTTAACTACCTCGCGAACTCGGTGTGCAAGTTCCCGACCGGGCCGACGATTTTCCTGCCGACAAATCAGGCGTGGAGCGACGCGCTCGAGGGGTACAAGAAGAGCCGCAGCAGCGGCGCGCTGTACGAAGCGCTCGACGCGGTCGCGAGCGATCGGATCAAGAACGCGATTGTCTGGGCGGGGAGTAAGACCATGATAAACAGCACTGAGCTGTCGCGTCTCGCTGATAAGGCGAAATCGTGCAAAACGCTCACGACGCATCCGATCGGGGAGGCCGCGCGGACCGCGCTCTACAACCTGATGTCGTTCCACACGGCGGCTTCTCGGGTTACGATCTTGAATCTGGATAGCCAGGTAGGCTGGTGAACCACCATCGGTACGTTGGTGAGAAGAAATTTCGGAACGTGATTGTAGATGTTAGTATGTGTATCTGATGGTGTGTTGTTTTTCTCCCGCTCGATTCCCATATGCTCTCGTTGTCGTTCCATCTGCTTCTTAAACCTTCCGTTTTCGTCTGTTTCTTACACCCCGACCCTTCACGTACAGTGTACCGCCACAGGCACGTCTTTCAAGACCGCGTTCAATAGCAACAACCTGAACTTCAAGTGCAACAGCACCGACACTGGTTTCATCTCCGGTTCGGACCCCCTTGCATCTGGCGCAACTGCTGGTACTCCGTCTGCTGTGGCAATGATCGACGAGCCGCAGAAGGATTATTTCTACGTCAACGCGGTTGTCTTCCCCAGCAACATCTCCTCCCTGCCTGGTACGCGTTTTAATAAATCGCTAGAAATGAGAAGACTTGCATTATTATGTGAAGAGATATAAAATATCTCTCGCAAATTTTTACAATGGGCTTATCCTTCCCTGCATCAAGCACCGTGCCACACATTCGATCATGCATGCAGCCACTTATCTACATGCCCCCAGGTTCTTATTTTTTGTTTCTCTCCTTTCTCACCTTTCTCCTCACCTTCACTCCCGTTTCTCGTCCCCCTCACTCCCGTTTCTCCTCCCCCTCACTCCCGTTTCTCCTCCCCCTCACTCCCATTCATCCTCCCCCTCACTCTCATTCCTCCTCCCCGTCACTCCCATTCCTCCTCTCTCCCATTCCCCCTCCTCTCTCCCATTCCTCCTCTCTCCCAGTCCTCTTCCTCTCTCCCATTCCTCCTCTTCCTCTCTCCCATTCCTCCCTCCCTTCCTCCCCCTCACTCCATTCCCCCTCCCCCTCACTCCCATTTCTTCACCCCCTCGCTCCCGTTCCTCCCTCCTGCACCCCTTGTTTCCGATTGCCAGGTGCCGTTTGTCACTGTCTTGCATCTCTTCACTGCATTGTATAGCCACACATTCAGTGACCACCTCTCCACTATGCATTCCTCTCCTTGTTCCCATTTCCCTTCCATCACAGGTGCCGTTGCCTCTGTCTCACGTCTCTTCACTGCTCTGCTGGTCTTCGCCTCTGCTCTTGCCTGTGCTCTCTAGTCCAGATTGCATGAGTAAAAATTCCATCGCCCTTTCATTCCCATCTCTCAACCCCTCACTCTCATTCCCCTTTCTCTTCCATGACAGCTGCCGCTGCTACTGTCTCGCGTCTCTTCACTGCTCTGCTGGTCCTCGCCTCTGTTTTTGCCAGTGCCCTCTAGACACCAAGTTTTGAGTCAACTCAAAACTCGACTCTGCTGGTCCTCGCCTCTGTTTTTGCCTGCGCTTTCTAGACACCAAGAGACTAGATACCCCCTCGCTCCACTGCCCACGAGTCTTGACGCCATGGGAAGAGAAAGCACATGTGCTCCACGTTCCATGTTGGATCCATTCGTTGTAAATCCTAGCCGTTGATTGTGCAATGTGCAGTCTTTCCTTGGTCAGCATGGTAAATTTTCAAGTTATGTGGATTTGAAATAGGCAGTAGGTGAGGGTGTGCGAAACATATTTCGGTTGTGTGGCTCTGGCGAGGATTATGTTCCTCCGCGAGCACGTTTGCATTTCGCTCACACCAAACCAGCGATACCCACTGACCCTGTGCGAAAATTGAGTCGCATGAACAGATATTCCAGTCAGAAGCCTTCACACTCTTACGAAGAGCACAGAAAATGTGGCCGAAGTCTCCACCTCACCACTGACTCAACTCGCCTCTACTAAGGGCGCATTCTCGACCTCGTGTCATCCGGCGTTGGCGTCATCCGAAAACTTTGGAACTCACGCGATTGGCCCAAAGTTCACAACAGGCCAATCATGTGCGTTCCAAATTTTTCGGATGACACCAACACCGGATGACACGAGGTCAAGAATGCGCCCTAACGGAGAGTAGTAAAAACATCGCCGCACGAGCTACTAACAACACCCACTCAGACTCAAATCGGTAATTCGATGCGACGAAGGAAACGTGTTCGACACGAGGCTCACCTCAGAATACTTGCGGCGCGATTATCTCATGAGCTGTCAACAACACAGCGGAGGGGTGTGTAGGAACGTGCAAGCCCAAAGGGAACATACGGGAAACGCGCTTGTTGAGGAAGCATTGGAGAGTTGAGGAAATGAGCGCCGCGCTCGCGCGCTCGCGTGCCTACTAGCGACACGGCGTTGCGGTTTGCAGCTCCGCGCGATCGGCGAGCCAATCACGCTCTTAGGCGAGCGCGAAATGGAGCGGCGCGACCGACTTAGGTCGTTCATGGCTTAGCTAGACGCCGAGGGGCGGCTCGACGAGCTTTACGAGGCGATCGAGCGGCAAATGCGGACAAAGCAGGGAAGGCGGCGCGGAAGTTCTCGAAACGGAGGATGTGCCTCAAGCGGAGTTGTTTTATACCAAGGGGAGCAAGGAGCTGCTGCTGGCGCTGCAGGAGATTGCGGTGTTTTCGCTGCCCCGGGCAGGGTTAAGGGATTCGGCGTGCGAAGCGGCGGCGCGAGGATCCCGATGAGGACGAGGAGGCGGAGGCGAAGGAGTTGATGGCGCGGTGCAAGGGATGAGCATGCAGGTCGGTTGAGAGCTGTACCAAGCGGTGCAGGGAATGATAATTCAGGTGAAGGATCCCAATGAGGACGAAGAGCGGAGGCGAAGGAGTTGATTGGCATGGTGCAGGGGATGAGCATGCAGGTGGGTTGAGAGCAGTACTGGGTTGTATCAGAGATAAGCGACGCGCGCCCCATCCCGCCTGTTCCCTCTCCCCCGACGCCTCTCTTGTTGCCACGTCAGGGTGGAGCGGCGCCTGCCGCCTCTGCTCGCTGCCAGCTGTGCTCGCAGCCAGCTGTGCTCGCAGCCAGCTGTGCTCGCTGCCAGCTGTGCTCGCTGCCAGCTGTGCTCGCTGCCAGCTTCTTACCCTCATACTCGCTGTCCCACCCACCACACACCCCTCCCCCCCTCCCCAAACCCCCCCACACCTCCACAGGTATCAGAGATAGGCGACGAGCGCCCCATCTCCACCTGCGCCCTCTCCCCCGACGCCTCTCTCCTCGCCACCTCCGGGTGGAGCGGCACGTGCCGCCTCTGGTCGCACTCAAACCTCCTCCCCACCCCAACCCACCCCACCCCACCCCACCCCACCCTCCGCAACACCCACGCCACCCCCCCGCCCACAGGTATCAGAGATAGGCAATGAGCCCCCCATTTCTTCCTGTGCTCTCTCCCCCGACGCATCTCTTGTCGCCACCTCGGGGTGGAGCGGCGCCTGCCGCCTCTGGTCGCAGCCAGCTGTGCGGGCGGCGGGCGCACTGCGCGGCCACTCAGAGCGCGCCACTTGTGTGGCCAGGCACCCCCACGCGCTCTCCTCTCTCCCCGCCTCCGGCCCCAACCTTGTCACGGCTGGTGCTGACAGGTACGACAGGTGCAGGAATGGGGGGTAGGTCTAGGACTAGGAGTGGGATAGGGGCAGGCTCACTGCTGCCTATCCACTCGCACCCCTACACGCGCTCCCCACTCCCTCCCTCCCTCCCTGTTTGGTTCTATCCCTCATTCCCTGTTCTCCCCGGCCTTCCTGTCTTCGATTGTCCCCCCTTCCCCCCGTCTATCCCTCATGCTGTGTTCCCCCTGCCCTCCCTTCTCCTCCCTTTTCAGCTCCTGTATGCGAATTCTCCCCCAACATATACCACACTAGCCACAGGAGTGGAGGACCACTCATGCCGCATGTGAGATCTGAGGCGATGCAGGGAAGCACGCATTGACCCTTATACTCCATGTGCTCCCTGTCCCACCCTCCCTTGCAGCTGCTAGCGTGCGACTTTTCCCCCAACGGGTACCATCTAGCAACAGGAGGGGAGGACCACACATGCCACGTGTGAGATCTAAGGCGATGCAAGGAAAACAGGCTGCACCCTCGAATCCCTCACCCCCTCTCCTGTGCTCCTGATCATCGTCCAATCTCCTCACTTGCACCCTTCCTCTCTTCCGCACTTCCCCCTTTCCTCTGTCCTGCCTTTCCTCCCTTGCTTCCCCTCATATACTTTACCCCCTTTCTTCCCCTCATTTTCCCCCCTGCTTCCCCTCATTTCCTCCTGTGCTTCCCCTCATTTCCTCCTGTGCTTCCCCTCATTTCCCCCACTGCTGCCACTCATTTCTCTCCCTGCTTCCCCTCATTTCCCCCACTGCTGCCACTCATTTCTCTCCCTGCTTCCCCTCATTTCCCCCACTGCTGCCACTCATTTCTCTCCCTGCTTCCCCTCATTTCCCCCACTGCTGCCACTCATTTCTCTCCCTGCTTCCCCTCAGTTTCCCCACTGCTGCCCCTCATTTCTCTCCCTGCTTCCCCTCATTTCCCCCACTGCTGCCACTCATTTCTCTCCCTGCTTCCCCTCATTTCCCCCACTGCTGCCACTCATTTCTCTCCCTGCTTCTCATCATTTTTCCCTGCTTCTCATCATTTTTCCCTGCTTCTCATCATTTTTCCCTGCTTCTCCTCCTTTCCCTCCCTGCTTCTCATCATTTCCCTCCCTGCTCTCCCATATGTCCCATATCTCCCCTGTTTGACCTTTTTCTTTTCCCCCTCCCAATCCCTCTTATTGTCTCCCTCTTCCTCGCTATTGCAGTGACTACACTGAAGATTTTTCTTATACTGCAACTCGCCTCAGCCCATCATCCCATGCCATGCTCGTAGAGAAACCAGTTCCCCTCGTATTTTTTCGAGGCCTTGAGAAAGTGTCAAATGTAATTCTATGCTTGTAGGCTACAATGAGTAGCACAATAGGGAGTACAGTTGTTAGGGTTGCATATTTGTACTATCACACTTTCTAGTTTCGGCCATTCCGTTGCATTCCTATTATGAGATGGTATCACGAGTAGGTTAGATCCTCGTTCTTTTTTAGCTAGCCTCCGCGCCCTACGCGCCCTCCGTCAGGGCCTCAGATTCGTTTGAGAGTACCCTGTGGACTCAGGGCAGGTTTTAAGAATTCCTATTTTGTCCTGAACTGTCAGGATAGAGCAAGGGTGGGTATGCTGAAGGGTCAGTGCTACAAGTGACATTATCCTGCCAAGTCAGTGCTACTTTTCACTTTATCCTGCGCACTTTGTTAGAAGCTTAGTTTCCCTTGTATCACATCACACACACACAGACCAATCAGTCAGGCAGAGCAGGGCACAGTAATAATGACTTAAGAGCCCTTATGAAAGTTCTCATTGTTATGGTAAATATTGAACATGCACTTCAGTACCCCTCATCATCATCCTCTGCCTCCACCTGATCATCTTCAGAGGCATCGTCTTCAGCATTGTCCCTTCCACTGTCTACAGCATCATCATCACCCTCCTCAGCAGCGTGATGATGGTCACGCTTCTCTGCTAGTGACCCCCGGAACCCTGTGCCACTCCTCCTCGATACATCCACAGTTGCTGCCTTTCGCTTGGTGGGTCGCCTCTTCCTGGTGCTGCGCCACAATGCCACGACTTCGCTCCACACCATGTCGTAGTCTAACAAGCTGAGCGTCATGAGGTCGGCCAGCTTCGCGTCATGCAAGCTGGTCCGGATCCAGCTCTTGATCACGTTTTGGCGCGAAAATCCGCGCTCGCACTCCACCGTGCTGAGAGGCAACACCGCGACGGCCGCCCACAGCCGCACCAGGTTCGGATAGGTCCGCTGCCAGTCCGATGTTGACAATATCGCCCGCAAGCCAGCATGGAACGGCTGCTCCTCCTTTGGCGCCCCGGACAGCACAGATAGGAAAGTGCGCATCTCCTTCCGCACTTCGCGCTTGTTGACACCTGCTTGGTGGGGTGTTAGAAAAAACCATACACGAGGGTTTTGGGTCATCTCTGGCGGTTACGTGGCGGAGTCTACACTGCAATTTACAATTCACACAAGGGTGCAATTTACACTGCAACGTGAAGTGTGTAAACAGACACGGAAACTCACCAGGAAGGATCTCGTCCCTGTCGCGCGCATGGAACATCACCGCCAGCTTCTCCATGTGTCCCTTGCACTCCGCGTCCCTCGCCTCTTTTCCTCGCGGCCATGACCTTGGCATGAAGAGCTTGGCGGCGTTGAGGTTCGACAGGTCGCCAAGCCGAAAGTCGAGGTTGTACAGCAGCTCCGTCGCAAACGAGCGGCACGTCCGAATGCAAGACGGCAGGTCACCGACGCCCTCCGCGTAGCCAGGAATCGGCTCCTCGTGCAGGGTGAACTCATGCTCCCTTGGCACACCGTCGGTGTCCACTCCCTGCACTTTCATGCTCCTGCTGCATGCAGCACCGTGCCGAGCAAGGAACGGCGATAGCAGTGCGCTCGACCCAGCACCGAACTGCTGCCCACAGTCAATGTACCGCTCCCTAATGAAAACCTCGAGGCGCCTCATCTGGGAGTGAACCGCCGTCAAGTCCACCTGTGATTGGGTTGAGGGGCAGGGAGGACAAACGACATAAAAGAACGGTAAGTATCAGTTCGTTTGAGACCTCGCTTTTGCAAAATGTGTGGCAAATACCTCGCGCCGTTGGAAGAGAAGGTTGAGCATGTTCAGCTCGACGTGTACATCCGCCAGGAAGTACACGTAAAAGTGAAACTTCAGGCTGGTGACCATTTGGTAACAGGTTTTATCCAGCTGCTCGAGGAGGACCACCACCGCCGGAAGCACCTTCACGAACCGCGCAATCGCGTCACCTCGGCTTAACCAGCGGACGGCGTGGATGCCTTGCAGCTCCAGGTTTGTCCGGGTGAAGACTGACTGGATCTCCTTGAATGTTGCATGCGAGGTCGAGCTGCGTCCGAGATGCTCCGCCAAAGCACGGATGAGGACGTCAACCATCTGGAGCTCCGGGAGGGCTTCAGCAGAGTCCTTTGCGGCAAGTGCCTCCCTGCCAGGCACAAAGCAACAAGGGCGTCAGACAGTCCGAACGCATAAATAAAACAGGCTATGTAAAATTCCCACCTGTGTGCGATACAGTGGCACGAAACCAGGTGCGGGATGCAGAGTCGAAGCCGCCCAGTGAGACCGTTGGTGCCGCCGAGCATGACTGGAGCGCCGTCGGTGCTGATCCCTGCGATCTTGCCTAGGGGCACGTTGATGCTGTCGAGGTAGCCGACGAGCACTGCATACAGTGATCTTGCGTCACATTTCTCCACGGTCAAGAGCGTCAGAAATTCCGTGGTCACCTCGTGTTCTCTCAAAAACGTGACGAAGACAATCATGTGCTTCCCCCGCACGCGGTCGGTGCTCTCATCACAGCTCAAGCCAATGAAGGGGCTTGAGTCTATGAACTCGCGTTGCTTCGCACGAAGATAAGTCGCTGTAGCTGATACCAGTTCCTGGAACCCGTACCTGCGCAGACACAGTTAGGAAACCCGTATGTTACGGCAACTAAGTTGTCACTTTAAAAATCAGAGGCATCACTTACGTTGTATAATAAGCGCCGTAGCCGTTCTTCGGGAATCCTGGCGTACCGCGGGAAGCAAGGTGCCGTACGAGTTGCACCCACATCTCGATGGGTGCGTCAGTCCTTGTAATGAACAACAGCGTGTCCAGCAGCGACTGCACAGCATCATGCTCGAGGTCACGCGCCGTCGGGCAGTCGGGGATGCGATGCTGCCCGGTTGCGTTCGCCAACGCCAGCTCCTGGTTGCGAATAGCGTCCTTGTGCTTCGTTGTTCGCTGATGTCGCTGCATGGCTTGCGTCTGCACATCCAGTGCCCCCTCACCTTTCCCGAAGTTCGTTCCTGTGCCTGCATACTCCATACACACGGTGCACTTCATAGAAGGGAAACCATACTTGGTTTGACAAATGATAAGCCACGGGAAGTCTTCGTTCCACCTCCTCTTGAACATGAGCAGAGCTTCCTGGTACTTCTCCTCAGCGATGTCGGGTATTTCGGTGTCAGAGGAAGCAGTGGGGGCGGTTTCAATAAGAACAGTGGGTTCCGGATCTTGCCTGGAGACGGACAGCACCGTCGTGTTGTCTGATGCACGGACGAATGACAACTTCGTCTGGTGGTATCGCTGCGCGGAGACCTTCTTGCTCGGAGGTCCCTTCCGGGTTGTCCCAGCGGCCTTCGAGCACTCCCACTGCGTACGAATCGGCGGAGGCAAAGGCTCGTTATCAACCACGACCGGTGCTGCTGTCGAGGGAGAAGGCACGGGCGGTTGAGACGGCGAAGGGATGGTTGCAGCAGCGACAGCGGCAACATCTACCGTGGGTGGTGGCGGCGGCTGAACGGGCCTGGTGCACAAGAAATCGAGGCCTGTCAACCCTACTGGGCCGACCGTTGGGTCAGGCATGGCGGGTGCTTCACCATCGCCCGCCGGCGATGGGTCAGCCATGGGCGAACAGCAGTGGTCGATTGTGCTCTGAGACAAACCTACGACGAGCTAGCAAAATCACGGGGGAAACAAAGATTCTTTGGAGTGAGCCAGGGGTTTGGTAGGCA